TATTTAAAAATTGCTTACATCCTTGTTTTTAATTGTTTCGAATAACTTGATCGTAATCCTCCGCCTTTTCTAGAGCCAAATAATCGTGTAAAGAGGAAAATTGTGGACTTTGAGTGTTACACGTCGTACAATTATTCATAATCACATTCAGTATGCACGTTTTGTACACACAGAGGTGTCAGTGGTCAAAAGTTCCATCTAAGATATGCACGGTATCTCTCAGATTTCTCTTTATATGCAAGAGAAATTGGAGCTAGTGTCTGTAATTATATGTGACCAAATTTATACTCTCATGGTTTTAACCAATAGACTTTCAACTTTTCTGTCTGAGCAGAATTTTCGTATACGTTTCTTCTTCGAATGAATTCAAGAATCGGGCCCCAGGTAGAAACACCTTTTCTCTCGTACTAATAAATACATTTGCCAATATTATTCAACATAAAAACAGATTGTGTTATGTGAACAACAAATTACAAAAATACTAAGCGATTGAAGATTGTTCATAATAATAATTGAAACATTTTGAAGAATTTAACTTTATTATTGTATTTAATACAAAATTTCATATATACATATACATATATTATATATATAAATTTCATACATATATTATATAAAGAATGCACGCTTTATATGTTGCTAAAAAAAGTATATATTATATGTAAAAATATCGTCTTTGCACTTATTGTTAGTTGATTAGTTGGTTCATCTCGCAGATATATTTTGTACTTGTCTTTCCTTAAAAGGATCATGCACTAAGTCGAATTATTATCTTCCGTCAATTGAGCAAAAGGCACTGTGGTACTTCTCATTACTTGTATCTGTATATATATCAGTATCACAATAGTTATGACATAAAATACTGCTGATAAGAACCACACTGGTAGAGGATATAAAGGTGGCATGTAATGGGAGTAGAAAAAGGTATACAGAGAAGCTGACGCAAACGGTAACAGTGTCTCTAGAGCCGCAGCTAGAGAGAAAACCTTCCCTGTTGAAATAAATGCACTTTAAAATGTTTTTTTTTACAAGATTAATGTAGGTATCTTAGCGAAAATTAACGACTATATACGTATGTTTAAGAGTAATTCATTTCTGGTTCTACTAAATTCTACAATTATTTCTTAAATTCAAAAGACAAGGTTTACCTGTGTCCTGCGTAGGTATTGCCTTGGATAATACAGCACGTATCATCGATCGAGATATATTGCCAAACATTCCTAGAGCCACTGATAAATACATATGCCAAGACTGCCATGTAAAGGCACGTACCAAGACACTACCAAGAGATGACGTAACAGATATTATCGCAACTACAGCCTCTGGAAATCCTAAATCAAACCAATCAATCGTACATATCCGGTAAATTCTTGCAATCAATAATGAAGCCTTCAACATTGTTCAAAACAATACCTGCATAGTTTCGCATTAATCTAATACCGGATATCGTCCCGAATATCCCTACCATAGCGTCCGCAGCTACATAAGTGGAGTACTTTTCTACGGTCCACCCAAGCTTCGCGCTTGTAAATAAATATCCGATAGCGAGACTACCTTCAAATACAATCAGGACGAGCGTAAGACATGCTATGCAGCTCCAAACTAACGACCTGTTGAATCCGTCTCTCTTACTTGTGCACGTATTAATGAGATCCTTTACTAACTTAAAGTCAAATACCTCGCGGATACCCTGTAAGAACAGACAAAAGCGATGATTTATCTCGTAATTCACATTTGGAACAATATTCATTCATTTATCTTAAAATTAATCTGTAAGCTGACCCCGTTGGAAATATTTTACTGAAAGTGTACTATGAAAATTTGCTGAATTTAACTAAACACTGTGTTCACTTTTAATGAGAAATTGCTGAAATATTAAAATGCTATAAAACAGGATCAATTAAGAAATTTTCACTATGTTTTTCATAAAATATTTCCATCAGGGATATATACATACAGGGTGGGCCATTTTAATCTATTCACCCAAATTTCTTTGTACCTAAGACAGATACGGAAAAATAGTTCAGACAAAAGTTGTTGAAGATAATGGGGGTCACCTATCTGTTGTTTAAAAAATTTTTTTTATTACTTGTTACAAAATTGTGTTTTCTTTACACAAGTTGATTTATCTCATTATTCTGTTCAAAAAAGTATTAAGGTAAGATGATAAAAAATGAATATTTTACAAGATATTTTGTAATTTATGTCAAAATATTGGAACTTTCAAACCTTAATAACTCAAAAAGTTCTTAATAAAAAATACTTTATTATAGCGTTTTGGAAAGCTCTCGAGGTAAGCTATAAGAATATGTAATAAAAAATAGGGGTTCCTATTTAAAAAACCACTCTGACCTTCAACCAACCTTGAAAAGTAGTCTCAAGATCAAAGCTAGTTACACAGATAGATGACCCACATTATCTTGAACAACTCTTGTCTGAACCATTTTTCCGTATCAGTCTTAGGTACAAAGAAATTTGGGTGCATAGATTAAAATGGCCCACCCTGTATACTATACGTCTACTGCTGCAAAAAAATTTAATAAATGCTTCGGAAATACCTACGCAAGTTTGACTATGTACAGTTTCTGGAACGAAAAATATTATGTACAACGTTGCTAGAGCGCAGAACATAAACGCAACACCAAATACAGCACTGTAGCCACATGCTTCAAATATCACTGGACCACAAAGCAATCCGATTAGGGCGCCGAGAGAGATCAGTGCGTCCAACCAGGCTAAATGCCATGCCCGCTCGTTATCGTCCGTTATATCAGTGATGTAACATACGGAAGCTAAAATCAATACGCCTATGCCACCCAAGAGGCCAGTAGGAATGTAGGCTATCAGGAAATACCAAGGTCCAACATCCCACTGAGCCAATACAGAAAGCAGAAGATAAGTTAAAGATGTACCTAAAGACACGTGCGTTAAATAAATATCAACACTCTCTTGCGGACATAACAGAGAGCTTTGAGAGCTATTTATAAAATTTCATGTTGTCACAATCTGCATTGTATTCTATAATCTATTACTACCCGTCTCTATAGTAACAATCAATTATTGCAACTCAATCAATGTAGTATGTTTAAAGGCAACAAAGCTCTTTTTACAGCCCCACAATATTATTCGTTACAAAAATATAATTACTTATATATCCTGAAAGTATAAGGGGTTTTCTTCCGTATTTGTCACTCCATGGTCCCAGAAATAACGTCAAGAGTGACGGGATGATGCTTTCCATGAAGGCTTTAGCCATTATAACTAAGCTTGTGTATGGTTGGACTATGGAGTTGAGCCTGAGCGCCTCCTTGCTGGTGCTATTCTTATGGAGCAGCAGGCACTCCGTTTCGTTTATTTTCAGAGTCACAACGCATGTACGATTCAACAACAGATCTGTGAAGACAGTACCTGCAAGAAGGATGAGCGCATGTAGTCGTTGTACCAAGGCAAAAGGATTAGTTTATCACCTGACATTGTCACGGCAAGTAGCAACAGTATCGTGGGTGGTTGCACGAGTAAATAACGCCTCCATTCCGGGACAGTTGGGTCCATTATCTTCGGTAATATTCATCAAAAGCCGAACACTCTCCGTGCGAAAACGCAGTGACAAATGCTTGATAACACAGCACGCGAATGCATTGATCGAACGTTTGGAAGTTGTTTTATTTGATGGAAATAATTAGGAATTGTAGATAAGCAAACAGCGAGATATGCTTAATGTCTCTCACTACGCGTTTCTTTGTTGGAAAATTGCTTATATACGTACACACACACGCACACACACACATACATGTACGTACGTATATACTCGCGTGCATGGCTGTGTGTATAGATGTGTCAGAATATTTTCTCGCTCGTGTGACGTAATCACATTGGCCGCGAAGTGCAATTGCAACTGCTGCGATCGTGCAACAATGCACTTTGGAAAATTTACGCATAGATAATACACGCGGCATAATGTATGCTGCAATTTTCCTAAATTACGGATAACAACACGACTGCTCTTTGTATCGCGGAACATTAAAGAATGAGTCACATATGTATATGCTTGACAGCCCGGCCACTCCGGCCAGTCAGCTGATTTGTAATCTGACAATACTTCAGCGAGGACTTGAACCACTGTACGTGATGTACATGATAATATAGCATCAACGAGCGGCATTGAAGAATCCTGTATTACCGACAGCAATTTACAGCAGTCACGATTAAGATTCCTGTTACCAACGTTATAAAAGGATTAAAATAAATCTTGAAAATACATATACAATATATTTATACATAAAATACACCGGTAAAACGTTTTTCATGAATGAGCGTGCATACATATAATTATACAATACAGGGTGAGTTTTAATACGTGAACCAGTCTTTACCCTCTAAGACGAGTTATCGACAGCACTTGTAAGTGACTTACCGGCGTATAGATGGCTGTAGCGTAGATCGGCCGCGCGAACCGAAGTTCCATTCGAAATATGTATACATACAGCCAAGTTAAAAACTATAAATAGAATTATAATACATATTATACATACATATGTAGAATGACCTAAGTAAAATTAGTGGTAGTAAAATCAAAGTAAAATCAACATGTACCTAATTTAGCGTCTTCATTCAGACTTTTTTGACATATATGGCTCATACAGAGATATGTTGGAGTCACATTGCGCAAGAGCATACGTGGATATACAGGATGGTCTAAAGCCTATCACACAATAGGAAAGCACAGGCAATAGGAATAGGGAATCGGAATAGGGAATAGAAATCTATGTAATGCCAAGACACAATGATTCGTTGGCAATAGGCGTGCTGTCCAATCATCTGCATTTTAAAACCACGTGTCTGTCCCAGTCTCCACTGTGATTGGTCAGGTAGGTCAGGCACAGGGAATAGGGAACAGAAATCCAACGCGTTGGATATTCTGTTCCTATTGCCTATTCCATATTCCATTGTGCGTCGATGCACGGTTTCTGGTAAGTTGGAATTTAGTTATTTCTGTTGCCTGTGTTATTCCCTATTCCTATTCCCTGTGCTTTCCCATTGTGTGATAGGCTTAAAAGTCCCGGAACGGTTGAATATCCCGAGAAATTGTGGATGGAACGGAAAACGGAAAAATACCCCACAGGGGTGGGGGGGGGTCAATTTTGGTATCATTCGATAGCTCTTTCAAAAATAGGAAATACGTATTTTTCCGTTTTCCGTTCCACCCACAATTTCTCGGGATATTCAACCGTTCCGGGACTTTTAGACCACCCTGTATAAAAAAGTATACATATCAACGTATGACCATACGTAATATGTCTACAATGTGACTCCAACATATCTCTGTATGAACCTTATTTGTCAAAAAAGTCTGGATGAAGACACTAAAACAGGTACACGTTGATTTTACTTTGATTTTACTACCACTAATTTTACTTTGATCATTCTACATACATATACATACATATTATATTGATGAAAGCAAAATTAATAAAAAAATAAAATCAATTAGAAAATGAAGAGGCCATTTAGGACCGGGCATAGGTGTAAGTAGCCTGTTAAATTAAATTAATGAGTGAATCCATATACCGTATTCTTTCCAACTTATCCTGTGCGCCAGTTACATACCAGCCTTATAACACACAGGTTAATCCCCGTAAGTGGAAGTGTTATCGTCAGTGAATTCACGTTTATAAATTATTTTAAGTACATTTAAGTACATTTAAGTACATTATTAAACTTCAATGATCTGAATATGAAACCTTTTAATGATTACATAATTTAACACGCTTTAAAAATTAGGTTAAAAAATTAAATACTTTTAATAGGAAACCAACTGATGCCCTACTACCCTCCTATTAGAAATTATAAGGCGTAACAAGGGGCAAGTCATGAGGTCTTGATAAGGAAAACCTGACCAGGCAATTAATTATGTGATCAAAATATTTTATTAATATACTTTATGATATATAACCTACCAAGAAATATTCTCAGTATATACTGAGCAGGCTTCTAGGGCAAACATAGAAACATCCTCCGTATATTCCCAAAATATCGTGACGTATTTCGAATATTAATGGGATATACACAATCTACGTTTGCGATATACTGCGTATATACTCAGAATCTACCTGTGCTGTATATGGGTATTACCTTAAAAAACAACCTTTTTAAAAAAGGTAAAAAAAGAAAGTATAAGCGCCATCCAATCAAGAATTATATAATTTAATTATTTGGCTATATTTTGTTAGAAAAGTAATACATTTTTATTGCCTCTGCAAAAGTACTGATATCATCAAATTGCGCCAACCAAAATGGATAATTATATAAACTAGATACTTTATTATTTGTAATATTATAAAATGTTATATTCAAACAATCGAACATAAGATTTTACCGAAAAATTCGCCACTCGCACAAATAAATTTTCCGAAGCTTCGAAGCTTCGAAGATTTCGAAAGTTCGAATGTCGAAGCCTTCAGAGGAAATCACCAGTCCTAATTTTTATTTCCAGGAGTTGAACAATAAAAATACAGGTGCTAGCATAAAAATATGAGTATTTATGTGGTATATTAACAATATACAGAGAGCGTTTATAAGTACAAACGTCGAGATAATTCTTACATCTAATCCCACTCTCCAATATACATAGCACGCGGAGTCGGAGGTATTACGCCTCTCGTCGGGATCGGTAACCTTCCGTATATGTGATTATACGGTGACTCATTCCTGTTGTCCGAATCTGAAAGCATAGCAGCAATTATTACTAATAAACGTGATTATAAAGCAGCTTAATATGAATCCGTCTACGGGCCATCCCCGTAATTATCTTTTTTTACCTAAAAATCGTGAAGGGAAAAATAGGTGAAAAATTAATCTGCATATAATAATATTATAAATTATAATAAATTATTATAATAAATATAATAACAAATTATACAAATATTGGTCTAGAATAATAAGTTAGAGTTTGCGAGTTTAATTTTACGTGGTAATAAAGCTACGACATTGGACTAACTTACATGGTAGCTCTTACAATTAGTGGAAATAGTTTGCTGAATGTATAATAAAATTGTACTAAAATCTCTCTCAATTGTCCCCGAGATCAATTTTTCAATAAAAAGAAACATAGTTTTTAATTAAATTCAGTAAAAGTTTCGTAATATCTAATATTTCATATTTTGTATTATACTTTTCGACCTAGTATACTTTACTTTTCCTTATATTTTCACAGTATTACTTTGAATTTCATAAGGAAAATTATAATTACCTTTGAGATAACTCAGTAACTTTTCAATAACTTTAATTTCACTTTTCGTTGATTTTCTAGTACTCAGCAAAATATTTCCATCAGGGGTGCGATTGTTTTTTTTAAAGACAACACAAGTGGAAAAATTATAATCACAACAACTGCTTCTTACCAAGTCCACTCTCGAAACTTCTGGCGTGATACATAATGGGTGGTCGATGGGCTGGCAGGTGCCCATAAATCTGAGAGGATTGACTACTAGCGTAAGCGGCGCCCATATAAGATGGCGTCGGCTGTGTCCTCAAGTGTCCTCGAGGTGGGGGTGGACCCACCTTGCCGTGACCGTTTCTCGCCATTTTAACGAAATTAGGCACGCGTGCCCGTAAGCCGCAATAATACGGATCGTCTGAAACACGCAGTCGCAAATTGTGGGACATGTAACTTAATAAACAAAATATACGATATAAATAAAACGTAATCATTCTTTATCGCACGCACACACTTCACGTTTCCGAACATTGAATTGATTATGGACAATTTTTATTCATCAGCTGTACTCTTATTTCCTAGCTTCGTTTCTTTTTTATTCTATTTTATTATGACTTCGTATAAATACATTAGCCACTTTTATTTTTTACTTATTTATGTATTTACTTATTTATTCATTTATTTATGCTTTTTATTTCGATTAGCCCCTTTACTTTTCCTATTATGTCTCGCTTAATAGTTGTTTTATATGTATATACTTTTTGCATTAGTTAATATTATCATTATCGTGGCTGATGAAAGCTCAGTGAGGCTTAAAACATTTCACAAATTATTATAGACATCAATAAATCGAATTATATTGTTTAAATCTATATTTTTACGTTTATCATGAACTTTCCATTTTGTAATTATTTTTTCTTTCTAAACACAATACGAACCCAAGACAGCACACATGTATAAAAAATGTCATAAAGATATCTTTAAGCCATCTTTTATGTACATGTCTAAGAGACAACTTAATAACATCTTAAAGATATCTTTTGGATACGCGTGCTGTCTGGGAAAATAACACAGGTGAAATATACCTTGAGTAATGTTTCTTTGCAGTAAATTAGTACCATTATCAAATTGATTATTAATTTAATTACGTGTACTATTTTGACTTCAATTGTCAATTTAATCACGTGTTCTATTACTTTGATTCTGTGTTTTTCAAGATCGATATTCAAGCACTCGGCGTGCAACTTGTTGAACTGGAAAAAATGTATCTGCAAAAATATTATTAGGCACAATGAAAACCCGATCATGAAGCAATTTTCATTACTTGTGCTATTAACATAAACGACCGAGATCACTTGTTAACAATATCTAAAAATAGATGTCTCTCTAGGAAGAACGCTAGATTCGACATGTAAATTCTAAATACAATTTTTCCTCAACAAAAATGATCAGAAAGAGTTTAATACTTGAGTAATAATATAAGAATAACAATATTTGACGTTAATCTAAGAATAATATTTGATGTTAATATTGATATAATACATGTAATTCCAGAAATTTTAATATCGATTGCATGCACATTGTCCCAGCAAATACTAACTAATATCAATATTATATTTCATTCTCTACTGAACAATACAACTATTATGTAGAAGGTGTGTTATATTATATTCGTTGTCGAGTGGGAAGTTATCACTATTGATGTTATGTAACTATTAGTTGATGTTTTTTTGGGATATATTGAAGAAATTGTGACAAACGCGTTGATGTGGCTCACCATATTTTTTTCTATCGTCGTGTTTACTCCGCTTCTCTTCCATCATAGGATGTCTCATCGCCCTGCCATAATCATCCTCTATATCGTCGTAATCAGGCTGAAATAAGAGACACCAAATAGTATATTTTCTTCAGCTTAATGACACGGCTTTAACGTGTCGTTTTCAACATTCACCTTGGGGATACCGTGGCCGTAGAGATTTTCTCTGGGCGGCAATTTCGGCGGCCTCTCCGCCCGTCGATGCTGGTAACTCGTCGATTGCATGTAGATCTGTTCCCGCGAGTCCCTATCCATTATTTCGCTGGGCCCGACGGACGACGACACACCGGCCACGCTGTAAGGATCCTCGTCAGGAATTGGTATTCTAGGCCTATTCTTTATATCCACCGGCCTCTGTAATGCTAAAACTGAAAAGAAAAGTCGTGAGATGATACAAATTACTCAAAGCAAACGAATATCCGAATATTATTCCAATGAATTCCTTTCGACAAAGAAATAATATTCAATTCTATTCAAAGACTAAAACGAACGTTGAATAGATCCACATTTAGACACTAATACTTGTTAAAATTGTCAGACAGTACAATAATATATCATAAATCTTGTTTCTTAATTAAGGCGATGTGTCACATGCTTCCATCGGTAAAGAATAAAAACCGCTTTCCCAGTTTTCTCGAAAATGGCTTTACAGAATGACTTGAAAATTTTACAATCGACGTCTGACCAATAGAGGAACAAAGTGGAACAAGTGGTTCTCTGCGTTTTTCATAATTTTGAAAAAAAATAGACTTTGTATGGTAAATAAAACTGTGTTTCTTTTTAAATCAGGAAAAACGTGAAAAACCACTGTGTTACTTTATTTTAATAAGACGTCGACTCTAAAATTTTCAAGTTATTCTGTAAAATCAGTTTTGAGAAAAACTGATTTCTCATAATTTCTTTATTGGAAGCGTGTAACACAGCGCTTTAATTTTAAACAGCAATTTTTAGGGGAAGATCGAGAGGTATCGGACAGTGGCTGGTATCAAAGTAAGATAGTTTCTAGGATTGCACACAAAGGGCAGTACAATCGTATTATTTATCATTTCGTCGATATCGGTAGAGTATATCATATTTAGTTCACAAATAGCATTATTTGCGAACTGATGTATGTTTTGCTATTTTTATTGTGGTTTGTGTATTAATTATTAGTTAACTTTGTTAATATTTATTTTAATTACACGAATAAATAGAGTACGTTTTCTTTCATGAATTCTAAGCTCGATATATAATCGGTTTCAAAATGAAGTTCATCCAAATCCGTGTTAATCTTTTTCAACACGTTATTCAGATGGTATCGAACAATACCAATTGGAGAACAGTATCGCACGGCTAATATTGCACACTAATTTCTCTTTTTATTACAGGATTGTAAAGTATATGTAGAATTGTCGATAAGAGAGGGAAATAAACGTTATAATGTCCGGAAAGTACATTTAGGAGATAAAGTCAAAGGATTAAGTCTTAACGCTGGCTTTGAGGTCATTTTAAGATCTAAAAGACATACGTGCTGCATGGGACGTAAATATATAAATTTAAAAAACCGAATATAAGTATTTATAAAAATGCTTTTTTAAAGACTAACTTTTGTTCGAGACCACCCTTCAATTGTCCAAAGGTAAAATGGAGGGTGTCTACCATTTGCAAATAAAACGTTTTCTTATTCTTCTTTTTCTAACAATTTTATACCAACGTTCTCATAAAATATTAAAGTTTATTTTGGCTCCTAAACCATTAATTTTTCTTAAGCCTCCCGAAAGTTATTTCCGAAAAATCTAAAGAAGCATCCGATACCATCTCCGTACCTTCCTAGGCCCCGGTTAGATCGAAATATCGAGTACCGGTCGTAAACAGTACGTGGAAATTCTGTATGGCGTTTAATGTGTGTCACACGCTTTCCTCACAGAGCATACCTGGTGGCAGCTTTGACTTGAGCATATCCAGTCCCACCACGTTGACGATGAGCACCCATACGGGACACTGAAGCAAGTCGGCTTCCGTTCTCACGAATATGATGGCGCTCAGGCACTGCATCTCCAATCGCCGTCTGTCCGGGTAGGCCCTTCGCGTCTCTCGTGACAGATTCGTTTGGAATTTATTCATGTCGAACAACTGAAACGAGAGGCCGGTAACGTTCAACGTTCGCGTTCAAGCGTTCTGCGATATTAAGGAGAAAGTTGGCGATTGCGTCACTAGCTATGGCATCAATCGGCCTCTCGACAGGGCGGGCGGGAGATGCACGTAATAAAAACGTATTTATCAAGAACCGAGCAAACTAATAAACGAAACACAAACACGGGGGAGAGATCCTTATGGTCTCGGATGCAGGAAGAAACGATCGCGGATCGCGTTGAGCGGCGGAACTTCTCGCTCTCCTTTCGTACCGAGTGCATGGCGGTGTGATTTCCTGACGATAAAGAGATTTAAACGCCTCTTATTATACGGTTCGATGGCTCGCAGTTTTAATTAGAAAGGCGATGCGGTTTCTCTATCTATCGACATGCATTCGTACGAGCTTCGTGATAAAACCAACACGTGATTCCCCTCGCGTGCGGTGAGGAAAACGCCGCGGCGCTTCTTCTTCTTCTTCTTCTTCTTCTTCTTCTTCTTATTGTTGTTGTTGTTGTTATTATCATTTAAGAAGTAGGCAAGAGAGTTTAACGCCCCACTCTTTACGCGATTGACCCATTTCGATGCTTTCGCCGATAAATATTTCACGAGGAAAATCCAACGCGAACGGTTAAGAAACCGCGAAACATTAACGGCTCACCTTTCCGGGTTTCTCGTGCTCGAGGGCACCCTCCGAATTACGTATGATCTCCGGACCGATCGCATTGTCTTCCTGATTCGTCGACTTCACGTACACGTTATTTTTACATAATCTCTTAATGAGTATGTTGCCCTGCTCGTCCATCTTTATTTTGACCCCCTGGTTTATGTGGCGCTTGGCCTCCTCCGTTTTCGGGTCCCGCATGGGATTGTCAAATCCGCAAAGCCCTATCCTGTAAATTAACCCGGACGATACATTAACTCGTGTAACATATTTGTAATACGTTACTTCAAACGAACATATTTATCTCTAACAGCACAGCTCCTGAAAATATTTTTAGAATATTGCCACGTATAAGAAGATATTGTAGGGATGTTTCCAGTATATTAGGGTACTTTTAGTTCACTCTATGGAAGATTATTCGAATAGTATCGTTGCAATTAGGGATGCGATGTATGAACATGCACAATATACAGGGTGAGTCTTTCCATATCCGACAAAATTTTGAGAAGGTAGAACGGATCGAGATGAACGGAAAAGTCCTGTACCATTTTGCAATTTTCGTAATAGTTAACGAGTAATTAATTATTAAAAATCGTTGTCTTAGGCCGACCTACCGCCCAATTCGAGCGCGTGGTAAGATGTGACCGCCTGACGATCGATATTGCTATGCGCACATCTCGCCACGCGCTCGAATTGGGCGGTAGGCCGGCCTAAGACAACGATTTTTTATAATTAATTACTCGTTAACTATTACGAAAATTGCAAAATGATACAGGACTTTTCCATTCATCTCGATCCGTTCTACCTTCTAAAAAATTTTGTCGGATATGGAAAGACTCACCCTGTATAGTATTATATAAAATTATACATCAAACATGTACATACATATTTTTATATTGTATATTTCTATGATTTTCTATACAATTCTACACAATTCTATATAATTTTACAGATTTACACATGCTTTTACATGAAAAATTTTTAAGAGAAAAAAATTCACTTACAATTACGTATAACTTTGTACAATTGTACACAATTATACATATATATAATTATAAATAAGCAATTAAAAAATTTTTTCATATAAAAGCTTGTATAAATCTATAAAATTATGCAAAACTGTGTGACACATTGTCCGCATTCTTTTTAGAATTATTACATTTTGACAAGAGAGAAAATGCAAGATAAATTAGTAAAATGTAAACGCTATTTGCATACCTAAGACTCCAGATTTATAAAGCATTGATATATAATTAAAAAGCGCTCTGTAATTAAATTACGAAGATCTTAGAAGTAATGGTGTCTTAAAGTTGCACGTACCTGAATCCGTCAAATCCGTCATTCGAACCGTTTATCGTGAGGACGGGCGCTCTAGCATACGCTTTCGCGACCCGTCTATTTCTCTCGAAGACGATAACTTTTGCCCAAATTTCATCGTCTATCTGATTCCATTTGTCTAAAACCTCTTGTATGTGATCCTACAAATATAAAATGGGAGAAAAATTAATTAATGCAATTTAAATGACTCAATTATTACTTAGCACACAGTACCAATATTAAAAACGCACAGTTATTTCGTTTTAAATAAGAAATTGTTTGAACATGGCTTAAATTATATGCGTATACGTATATGTATATATGTATATGCATACACACATTTCTATATGCAGGGTGAATCATTAAGGCTGTCCCAACCTTTTACCATGAGGGATTACCGACTGCAACTGTAGCCAACTCTGGAAAAACTGGAAAGCATTTCGTTATACAGGGTGTCTGATGCAAAAGTAGCCAACTTGAAAATTGTGGTAGATTGGGTTAAACTAAGGAAAAATGTCATGTGCCGTGGTACAAAAGTAACAATAGTTATCGAGTAATTAATTTACACGTTTGAGCGAATGAGGATGCAGGAGACGGTAGGCCGGACTCGGAAGGCATTTAAGAAAATCGATCGATGAGCGGGAGGTGGAGCGACGCGCGAGATACACCGTAGTGGGAAAAAACCTAGGCGCGGCGGGGAGCGCGGCGCGGGCGGCGAGCGCGGCAACGAGCGCGAGCGACGGGCGACCTGGGGCGACCGAAACATAAACATAGTATCTCGCGCGTCGCT